TACATACCCCAATTTTTATGGCCAAATTTATGACCATCATGATAAGAAATGATGATAACGATGATCTAAACATCAAAAGATGGTGATACTGGTGATTTAGCTATCAAACACAGGAGGAATTCAGATGATTTAACCATCGGACGTTGGGGATCTTTTAGCAGGCAGGATTTCACCATCAAAGATGGTGGAAGTGGGGATATGGGCAATATCTACTCTAATCTAAATCTATTCTATTCTTATCTTGTCTTAGCACGTCAATCAATCAAACTCTCTCTGTCCCTCTCTCTCTCTCTCTATATATATATACATACATATATATATATATATATATGTAGATATACACACATGCACAGTATATCTTATTCACATTTAGCCTTGTAAATCCATCCCAGCTTCTGCTTACCTGGCAGGCCTTTCCGCAGGCCTTCCTGATGTCCAGCACCCTGCCGCCCCCGGCCACGGCTGCCACGGCTGCCACGGCTGCCACGGCTGCCGGTCCGGCGACCGGTCCGGCGGTGGCCGTGACGGCGGAGGTGGAGCAAGGCGGGGATGCAGCTGGGGCGAAAGATTGATGTTGAAACATAAGGAATGATCCAAAATGATCCAAAATGATCCAACATGGCAATTTTTGGGCAATTAACAATATTAACATTGTAGGAAATCATGGTTTGATATGAGAGAAAACTATATATATATAACGACTAGAATTGCTAAACATTGGCTCATTGTATGTGAATCATTGTATTTGTTTTAGCCAGATGATGGTTGCTAAGTGCTTCACATGTTGGAAGTGATATCTACCTGACCTGGTGACAGGGTCCAAGCAATAGGAACATGGTTCAGATATGGAGGTTACATGGGTGGTTTCTCAGGTGAGATGACCAGGTCAGAAGCTAATGATATACCCTCTGGTTATTTAACATAGCCATGGAAAATCACCAGTTTTAATAGGCAAACCCAGGTGAACCATCTATAAATGGGCCATTTCCCATGGCTATGTTAAATAACCAGAGGGTAACAAGAATGGTGATGAAACCATCACGAAGTGCGATCTGCGGATCCAAACAGCACATTTGGAAGCGGAAGCTTTGACCACCCACTAGGTGCGTGGGGTTGCCAGCAATGGCTTCTTTCAAGGATGTACCGTAATATACCGCAATTATCTGTACGTAATTATATATTATATATATAGAGACACATACTACATATATATATATATATTCTATATGAGTATTCAACAGAATTGTGATGCGACCAAGAATCATTGGGTTCAACATTTTGGGTTGGCTATTTTTTTGGGGGGGGCTAAAATCAAGCTGAAGGGATCACTAAACTCCTGACGTGGCGATTTTGATTTTGCCACTGGTTATCGGTTTTCGCAGAAGTGAACATATCAATTCATATACTGTATAAAATATTTGCGCCTTGTAGCCACACAACCGGAATGATGTTTGGGCAACTGAGGCTGAGAATTGGATGGAATCGGCAGAGTCCATTTTTTATCGAATCAGAGAACATTACCAAACATGGGTTAGCTCATGTATAGTTACTATAGTTTGGTTGGTGGTTTCAAACATGGCTGGATTATTTTCCATCATATATGGATGTCATCCTTCCCATTGAGGAACTCATATTTTTCAAGATGGTTAAAACCACCAACCAGAGTATAGTTTGGTCAATATCCCCAACCAGGTGAGAAAGTGGTGCGACGGAGAAGTCAGCCTCGAGCTGTGACGCAAAGCTGGGGCCCAGGTGATACGTGGGGACCCTCCAAATGACCAATTGGCCATGGGGGAGAATGAGAATCCATTGGAAAAACTGGGGTTATCCTATTTTCAGACAAAGCCACTTGGTTCGGAACCATGATAACCATGGTTGTACTAACTAACTAACTAACTATATAATACTATATATATATATGTAATTAGATATATAATTAGTAGCCGCTGGCCGCTGACTACTGAAACTGGGTTGATCATACAAGTCTCCAACAGAACCGGAGGGTTAAAACAAGCCAGCCAGCAAGGTGGATGAGGAATTACATGGCTTGCAAAGCAGCAATATTGGACGAATCATGCCCCACAGGGCTTCTGAGCTGTTTTGCAGCCATTTGGAAACGCTGCGAAACGGGAAAACTCTCTAATCCCTTCTGAAAACCTTCCTAAGACTGACATCCCCCTAGATTTTGGGACCCTGTTGCCACATCTTGCAGTCAACCAGCTTGCAAAGCAGCAACCGTTACTGGCCCAAATCCTTTGGTCCCGAGCAGTCTTCTGGAAACAGACAATTTGATCGTGGATAAAATTATGTTGCTTACTGTATGCCAATTGTGTGTCATTGTTTGTTGTAGTTCACTTTTAAGGTTCTGACACGTTTTTGAAATATATTTCTGGAACCCAAATCAATCAAACTTATCCCACCATTAGCGCAACTTGTGCTGTTTGAGGCCTTGAGACGACACCCACGGTGATGACCTCGCTCCCCTTGCGAGGCGAGGCTGTAACCATAAACCTGGGATATCAGCTATATAAGTATATATATATACATAACTATATATATATATACATAACTGTAATATATATATACATACACACATACATTATATAAGCCAACCATCTTAGCCATCACTGCGAAGACTAGTTCTTGATTGGGGTTGTGGAGTCCCCATTGAAAAGCAGTAGGTGCCCCAGTCCCCAGTGCACTCAAAATTTACTTCAGCATGAAATGAGGGCCAGACGATTTGTGAGGGAATCATGGCAAAATTGTGTTCTTTTTGGGTCATGAACATATCATCATTGACCCGGTTTGGATGTTTGACTGAATGGTTCGAAGGGTGCGTCCCAATATTGTCGGATTTATGTGTGTGTGTGTGCTCATGTTTTGCTCACGTCGATACAATTGTAGCAACCCCCCCAAAAAAGGTAGAAATGCAAAACCCTACTCAAACAGTGGTAAATTACTTTTCTATGTCAATTTCCAGTTTCTGAAACATCTATTGGTTTCCTAGGTGTAGGGATCGTCACCTCATGGGTTGTTCATTTTCGATTTCACGAGGTTGGCAAAAAAAATCCCTCAGTGGCAGTTGTCCCCAGAATCATTTGTTGTATCCCAAATCCTTTGGTCGAAGTCCACTTTTCGGGTGCTTCAAATCCTTTTTTGATAGATAGTGAAGTGACATTGAAATTCCACCATTTAAAGTTCAACCATGTTCAATCCTTGATTGACCTGAAATCTGGGCAGGTCCTACCCTGGTGCGCTCCCCTTCAGCGCCTCCTGTGATTCTGGCGCAAAGCCTGAGTTCCCAGAGACTTTCATGTGAAGTACTGGAGATTCGAGGGTGAATTGATTCATTAATTAGCTATATGATGCTATAATGGCTATATTATTTAAGATGATGATTAAGCACTTTATGATGATAAGATGATATATTTTGATATCATTGATTGGGTGGATATCACATATGAATATCATATAGAATGGTAGATATGAGGGTATATGATGGCATATGGCCATAGATTTTCACCCATCCCCTTGTGGGGATCCAGCGTGCAACGCTTGGGATACTGTAGATTCAGCGTTGAGAGGATGCTGGTCCCAGCAATGATGTGGGTATAGCCACCAGAAGATGCAGTATATGTTTGTATATGTATGTATATGTATAAATATAATCCAAGAATGATGGTATGTTGATGGTTGGAACAGGACTACTAGTTTTATTAAAGAGGACATTATTGATTTGGAAGTGCGTCACGACTTGAGCGCCACCTGCAATCATGGAATTCTCTTGGGGATGTGAACTACCGGGTGGCAGGGCGTCAAAGCCCACAACCATTCAAGGCAGAATCGGTACCGACAAACATGGAGCCAACACTTAGGAGTTGTGACCGTTGTAACCCACTACCTTCTTGGATTGGCCATCGCCATCACTGGCACCTAGGACCTAGGATCTGCCAGAATCCGAAGGCAAAATCTAAAATATTTGGGTGTAAAAAAACATCCGTGGTCCTTTCCTGATGTCTGTAGATTTTCCAACCAATTGATCATGAGATCTTTGGGGTGATCCTCCAAGTATGGATTTTATCACTGGGAGATGTACATATGAATACATATGATGTAATGGGGATAATCCCATCATGATATCCGGAATACTTTATTGGCTGTATCATGTTGTATCTCAATTTATTGGCGACGAAAAACATGGGGTCTATCCACCATTTCAAGAGGATTTTCTTAGGGAAACCATTGGTTTTCCGAGGTGCACCTGGGGCACTGTTGACTCCGCGGACATTGACGCCACAGGCAATTGGGGTACCAGCAGAATCTAGAAATGTTATGATAGTTGCAATAGGTTGCAATAGGTTGCAATATGTTGTACCACTTAGTCATAATAAACCATATAGTGGTATATGATATTATATATACATATATATATATAATCTATATAAGTGGTATATGTGAAAAAAAGCACATGAACTATAGTTATAATTACCAATATACATTGGATCTGTTTGGGCATGGGTCAAAGTATGTCAACATCATCATCCCCCACAAAAATAGATGAACGTGTCGATACTAAAAGCGAGTACTGACTTTTTGTGAGTTGAACCCACATGGATTTGATGGGACATGGTGTTTTTTTTTGGGCTCTTTGATGGGACGTTTTACTGTATATTTTTTTCATGAGTTCCCCAAAGTTGCAAGCATTTTGACATGTCTACCACACATATGCAGTAATAGTACATATATAATACATATATAATACATATATAATACATATATAATACATATATAATACATATATAATACATATATAATACATATATAATACATACATATATTTGAGACGGCACCTCTTGCTTCAGAAACCATTCTGATGTAGAAAGATGGAGCAACTTTTCTGCATTTTCCAAGCAGAATGGGTTCAGAACTTCAGAAGAACCCTGATCGATGAGGGTAACATCCTACTGGAGGCACCTATCCTAATAATAACTTGGGCACCTATGCTACTTGAGGGTAGCTCGGGCCCCACCTGGGCTCCAGGCGAGCTTGGGAAAGATGAAGGAGTGCCTTGGCTCCAGAGGTTCAAGATTTGCGTACGCCTTGACATGGCAAAGCACCCGGGATTTTCAGATTTTTTCAGACCTTGTTGCAGGGGTTGGCATTCGTGTCCCTTGTTGGTATCGTGATTCCCTCTGGGTGATGTTTGAAATTTGTCACCAGCACAGCACACATATTATTGTCAAACCATCTCCAATCACCTATGTTGGGTCGATTTCTAGTCATAAATTCTCTCCATTTGGGAATGGTTAAACTAGTACATTATCTCCATTTGGGGCTGGTTGACATGCAATTTTTCATGGTACCATCAGTTTTTGATGGTCCATGGTTAAATCACCATTTTTGGTGGCTTAAGCCATGGTTAAACTACCTGTCATTGGTGCTTCAAAATCACTGGGCATCCTTCTGGGTCTCGTTCCAGGCTCAGTCCACGCGTCCATTGGGAAGCTGACAGCAGGGGTGCCTTGCGGATGGGCGAAGGTCAGGTTCGCTGCGAAGGTCATCGCATTTATATCTGACACGGTAAGATGATATAAATTCAAGTCCAAATCGTAATTATGCTATCTTTCATGATAGTTTTTCGGGGATAATATATCTATATGCATGATTGGGACCAATCTGCACTGTTCCTGTTGGTTGCATAGCCATGTATATCTTGCGTATCACTGTTGGTTGCCAATTCTTTTCTTGGTATTTTTACCATCTACAATTGTTGAAGTTCACCAGACTTCAGAGGTTAAACCCCCAGCTTTGTTCCCAAGAAACAACAGTTTTTGGCTGAATCCGTTCAATGTTTGTTTTCTTTATACAATGATATTACATGATGATATAATGTATATAGATGTAATTATACATATACAGTACGCAGCATATATATATATGTATATATATATATATGCGACAGCCACCATTGCTAATCGCATCATCAGTCATTTTCCCCCCGAGGTAATGGAGGTGCAGTGCAGTCCAGAGTGGCCACAACCACATCAGTGAGCCCCAGGTGTGGAGATCCCCAGTAAAAATACCCTGGTTGATTCGATACCAAAAAATACCTAACTTATTGGTGATTACTGTATAACAAACATATAGAACTAGTATAGGGAAACCTATCAACCAACTAGTCCTTCATGAGATGCGATAGGAATATTTTGAATGGCTCACATGAACAAGCTGTTCTTGCTTGGTGCTTCTCCAGCAGTGATCCTGACTGTGAATAGGGCCTAGAGGTTAGGCATCCATGGGAATGTTTCATAGCCCGATAGATTATTACAATGTGGGGCTCCCAAGCGATAGCTAACTTGGTGAACATAACTCCAATATACTCCAATGACGATGGTTTAGGATACTTATAACTACAGTATTAATGGGGTTTATAACCCAACTTATAATTGCGGGGCCCCACATTGTACTTTCCTAGAGATCTAAGATTAGCTATGTATACTGTAGTCCATCAAGTGATGGGCGCATGACCCACAAGTTCTTTTCGTGCCGGTGGAGAGTGAGGAAACCTCTAAGGAATGTGCGATGCTGTACACGACCAATAAAAGTGACGATATGGCCATCCCAAAGGGTGGTCAAACCTGGGTGTTTCTGTTCATCGAGCCGCAGACTGTGAGCTGAATACTAGGGATGCAAACATCTGGGAAAAACTACCACAACTATGTTTATCTTGCGAACCCGCAATCTTGACTTAAGCCGCCTGCGATAAGGACTAAACAAGAAAAAACGAGAATCGGCCAAGTCTATCTATTTGATTCGTGCAACACCATTTCTTTCATTTGCTTACCGTTTACCAGTCCTACTTTGGATTATTACCTGTAAGAGGCCCATATTCTTGGGACGCGTGCCTGAAGTACCAACAGCTAGGTTGGTGTTTTCTTGCGGGTCATGACATGTTGTTCTTGTGCATGTGCATATCAACACTCTTTTTTAATCTTTTTTTATAATTGTAATCGGGATATCTAAAATCTCTATATATATATATATTATATATATATATTACATAAATGATTTTGGTTTGATATACAGTTTACACAGTGTGTGGCAACCCTGGCGCTTGGGTACAGGTCAATGATATCTGTGGTGCCAGCTGTGCCAGCGAGGGACCTTCAGCCCGATTGCACCTGGGGGACGAGCTTTGTGGTCCACCCCTTTTGTGGGCATGGATCAATATACCATCATTCATCCAGTTATTAAATAACCACTAGATAATAAAATTAGAGGGGTGCTGCTTTCTTTTCCCTCAGAAATAGAAATAACTATTTTACAAGGTGATTCAATGTCTAGTTCGGTTATTATCTAATGGTGGAGGAATGACCCATCCAGCTATTTTGCCACTTTACCCGGCTAGCCCGGGTGTCCCATAGCTTGATACCCACAACATGCCGAGATCACGGCTCTGAGGTTGTTTAGGCTCAAACTGAGGGCTGCATTCGTCCAAGAGGTTTTTCCTTCAACTCAAACCCCAACATTGAAGTGGCCCCACAAAATCTTCAGACATCTGTACGATGTCCAAGTACTCGGATCAGCGCTACTCAGCGCTAAGCGGCTAAGGCCACCACCTACCGCATTTCCACCCCTGTGATGCCCAACCTGGTGAAGGCGTGACGGGTGTTTTCAGGGAACGTCCCAGGCATCACGGCAATTTCTCGATATTCTATGTACATATGTATATATATATATATACGTATATATATATATATACACAGTTACACACACATATATATAAGTGTGAACATATCTATATACCTTGATGATTTTATGATATTTTACATGTATATATAGCAAGTTTGAACCTATATACATACCAACATGTATATGATCCAATATCTATCCTGTACATGTATATAGATTTACTCAGATATTTGGTATGGGTCACATTTGAAATTATCCGCACCAAATTTTGCTGGGAACTATATATATATGTATGTATACATGTGTATTGCACTAAGTCACACCCGTCACTGTTTGAACGTCCGCTGAACAGGTTATTTCGATATGCACAATATTTAAACTAGTCATAGTTTATATGAATCTCCAGACTTATAAGCGTGCCGAATACAAATAGCAAATACACATGATGATGATGATGATGATGATGATGATGATACACATATACATATACATATACACATATACACATATACATATACACATATACATATATACATATACATATACACATATACATATACACATATACATAGGCACATACACACATATACATATACATATACATATATACATATACACATATACATAGGCACATACACACACATACAGATATACATATACATAGACATATATATATATATATGTATACATACATACATACATACATACATACATACATACATACGTACATACATACATACATACATACATACATACAGATATACATATACATAGACATATATATATATGTATACATACATACATACATACATACATACATACATACATACATACATACATACATACACACATACACACATACACACATACACACATACACACATACACACATACACACATACACACATCCATGCATCCATGCATCCATGCATCCATGCATCCATGCATCCATGCATCCATGCATACATACATACATACATACATACATTTACATTTACATTTACATTCACATCTACATTTACATTTACATATATATATAGATATATGTACATTTTGTGGTAATACTGCATCCCCTTGCGTTGCCAGCCTGAAACTGAACATGTCCCGAGTTTCAACAGGCCCAGTCGCTGCCTACGACGCCCTTGTGGGGTGGCCTAGGGAGAATGAAGGGAGAATGAAGGAACTGATCCAACAAAAATGAGGGATTCAAGTGGCAACAAAAGATTTAAACCAGCAAACATGGGGGATTCAATATGGCTACAGTAAATCAGACAGAAAGGGCTGAAAGGTGTTAAAGCTAGCATTTTTTTTGGTTTTCACCACCAAGATTTGTGTTTTTTGAGTGCAAAAAAGGGATCCAGAAAAAACCGAGTGTTCAACAGCTAATGGTGACATGTTGTGCCATCCAGCATGGGGTTGAATCCGAATTTGCCTTTACAAGAATGGAACCCTGGGACTCCAAACCACTTAACCAATGGATGATAAACTGTTTACATGATTGGAATTGGGAAACACGGGTCCCGAAACTTGCGCAGAACGGTTTCGTCTATTTTGGGCTTGGCTTTTGTGGGATACTGTATACCTGAACCATTTACGTTCCTTTCGACTTGCAAGTCTGATGCATACACGTGTTGGCTGAATATACTGTACATATATATATTCTCTTTATAACCCTTCCTTTCATGAATCATTAAACGCAAACGAACAGTTCGGAACATGCTTCCCGAGTTGGACATGACCTTTGGTTTCCATCTCCGATTTCATACTGGGGATTTTAGCAATATATACATATCAATATCATTAAATATATATATAATATAGTATACATATAATATACATACCCAAAGGTTCCGCCCCAACAATCGCCTGCCTTTTATTAAAGGGGAGACGCTGAACCACCGAGGCAACTGCAGGTCTCCCAGATCTCCCAGGTGTCCAGCGCCGGCAACTCGCCACGCTTCTTCGTGCAAGGTGCCACTGGAAATCTTGGAATGACTGGGGATTTAGATACAAAAAACATCAAAAAACGATGGAAAATCACCATTTTTTGTGGCTAAATCCACTATAAATGATGGGTTTTGGGTCAAAACCTATAATTTTTTCCATGTTATTTTCACATTCTGGGGAATAACCATCCATTAACCAGCTACTTTAGGGTACCTAGGGTGCCAGGGTTTTGACCCATAACCATTTGAATTTATCCAACGATTCTGGGGATATCATGGGATAAGACCATCAAACATGGCTGGAATCTGATTTTTAGGAGACCAATCTTGGATGGGTGGTTTGGAACTAGATGAACCATGGTTCATGCTAGATATAGATATAGCTATACACTATCTATATATATAATTATATACATACAGTTACTGGAAGTTGTAAACCAGATTTATTCAGGATACAATGGGATATGATGGGATAAAACCACCACCCCAAAGTCAAGCTTGGATGGGGACTTTAATGCATCACGGTTTTGCTATAAATGGGCATCTTTGCGACGATATTATATATATTTGGGTGTCGAAGATTGGATATGGTTTAGAGTTTAGAGATTTGTTTCATAAAACATTGTGATGATGACTGCGATGATGACTACGAAGAGGATGATGATGATGATGATGATGATGATGGTACTTGGGACTTTCCCCACAAATAGGGACTTACACCAAAGCCAGCCTCGACTTGTTTCTAGCAGGGTAAGTGAGACATACATCTACTGTAATCAAATCTATCCACCAATCCAATGCACTCTTATCAAAACCAATCTATGTATGCATATATATATATATACATGTGTATATATATATATATTGCATTCTTATAGGAATCTTCATCTGACCTTGTCTAATTTTTCTATCTCCACCTACCTAGGTACAACTATCTTTCTCCGCGAATCCGGTCTATGTCTATCTATCCCTGTTTAAGTCTACTTATGTAGTTCTTTATTTTTGTATATATTCGCTGCGATGTATCCAGTACTGCTTTGTTTTTATTCTCTCTCTCACTCTCTCTCAACTTTCAGTAGGACTGGTATCAAGAATTGAAAACAGCCAATATTTCTCACATGTCAGCATCCCTGTCTATTTATAACATTTACACATCATACAAGTACATATATATATAATATACAGCTATCCCTATGCTTGTATGGTACCTCTTAGTACAATGGTGTCCCCCTATACTTGCAAATAGGGTTCTAATACCATCATCTCCATGAAAAAGTCCTTACCACCAGTTTGTGTAGCTAGGTAAGAGCGCACAATGGCCCCTCAACTCCGACCGTGTTTGCTTATTTCCAAAAAATGGTAGGTAAAACATGTTGTACCCCGCCGCACACACACACACATATATATATATATATATAGATATAGACATATATATATATACATATGGCCATATATATATATACATACATATACACACTTATTGATATATACACATATGTGTATATATATATATATATACATATGTATGCATGTATATGCATACCATCTTGGCTACTTTGTACCATATCCCAACATCCCAAAGGCAGCAGCCCCACCGTCTATCGAAGCCTCACGCCCACCGGCACGCCTGCTGCGCCGTCGCCACCTGTGCGAAGCCTAGCGGCACGGGCTGTGGGTGACCCAGAACCGTTAAGGCTTTGGATAAGATGCACACATACGTGCATAGACACAGATATACATATATATATATATATATGTATATATATATGTATATGTGTATGTGTACGTGTATGAGTATGTATATGTATATGTACATGTATATGCATATGTATATGCATATTTTTGACATGTGTATGACAATCTTAATGAACTGTTCAGAAGGGGGAATGGAATATATAACCGACTTGATATGAGATATGGGAATATAATTACCCCCGCGGTATGGCCGTTTCAATGGAATTGGATGATTAAATATCGAATCTTTGTTTTCCGACCTCCATGTGGAAAATCATCAAACCGCCAAAACCATGGCCCATTGTTTTTCAATTTTCGGCGTTGTGCAAGGATGGTAGATCAAAAGGGTTCGCTTCACTCCAAATGAGTTTGTTTGAGGGCACCCCAAAATTTATTCTTTCATCTCATTTGCCCTACTGTAAAACTTTTGGAATAGCCCATAATTTTGCCCCATTTGAAAACAGACTCAAGCATCCAAGTTGATATTAGATCAAGTGTCTCAGTATCATTCAGATGGGTGTGGGGTGCATGTGCGTCCAGAAATTGGGGTGTACCCTTTCTTTTCAACGGGGAAACGGATGATCAGCCGCTATAGGGTTCGAAGCCTCAGAACTGGATATATTGCAGACCCACATCCATGCCCAATGTCAATGTCCATGTCACATTATATATATATACATACATATATACAATGTATGTATTCGTAGAATCATTCATCCCATCTCAATTGTCAATTGATATGGCAGGTTAAGTAGAACTGCCTTTGGCGATCGTTGGTGATCGCTTGGACCGCAGGTGGTCTTTAATCTGGACAGCAGGCAGGTCTCGTGAGGCGAGGCCAAAAATAGGGATATCGAATTTGCCCTCCAGTGAGCTAACATAGCAACATAGTTATGGAGATCCATGAGTTTCCCTTCGAAATTATCTACAAATGGTGGATCTTTCTTGTCTAAGTGTATACCATTGGTACAAAGTGGGCCTGTAGTGGACATCACCAAACGTATTCTGGTGATGTGTCAAAATGAGCAATGACAAGAACCCGTGTTTGATTAGTTTTGATAGGGGTTTTACTCCCTGTTTCATTGGGGATCACGAATCATGGATTGCCTTTAATTATGGGAACCCGCTCAGATTGACAGTCTGCATGGTACTCAGAAACTGGGGTATGGCAAGGGGTCATCTTCAGTACTGATATATTTGGGATCGTCAATGGATGAACAATGGAGTGGATATCTTTCGATGGGTATATAATGGGGAATTTGAAGGGATATAAACTATAATGCAAAACCATCAGAGTATTGGCAATATGAAGCAATGAGTCTCATGCGGTGGAATTTTAGTTTTTGCATGGGTGAAGAAAAAACACATGGGTTCGCTCGCCATTGGGGGTGTTAGTCCACAAACATCGGCATTGAATTCACATCGGGATTTCATTGGAGATTACCCTCTGGTAAACTAACATAACTATGGAAAACCACCATTTTCAATAGGTAATTCAGGTATAAACCACCATTTTCAATAGCAAACTGTCAGTCATTACCACCTGATCACCACGATCTGTTGAACTCCGCGACTTGGCCGTGGGCCCGGTCAGGCAGAAATTGCTTTCGAATCGCCTCAAAACTTGAGGGAAGCTGAATGCAACAAACTTAGGGACACAACAAACATATACAAAAAATAACTAAATGAAGATAGGTATCGATGATAGATGCTGATGATAGATATATTTTTTTATTCCGGCGCTTGTGATAAGAAAATATAAGAAATATATTGAGTTAGAGTCGAATAGATGTTTTTTTAACGTGGCTGGCAAATAAATACTCGAAACTGGGTTTCTTAATCCAACAAATTTCCATTAACAAAATTTAACTACTATACCGTCCGGGCTCCAGTATCCCGAACAAAATTCTCTGGAAAAAGTAGAAACAGCCGACATCAATTTATCCATACAGAAATACTTTCCCTGAAATGTATGGAAACTAGTAATTTATCCATACAGATTCTACTTTCTTGTTTACTGAATTTACTTGACAGTTCTGGACCGCAGAAGCAAATTAGATTATAGATATTGTTGATGAATGAATATTGATGCAAACAACCCCAGTAGATTTAGCCCATTTAGCCCCAAAGAATGCATGGGGGGAAAAGTTTGGGTCTCACTAATTTTGAGCCAATCTTGTCGCCCGGTCATGGATCTTAGGTAAAGTCATGGTTTCCGGTGCAGTGACATTTGGTGGTTTCTAATCCCAGTGAATTTCCCGCTGGTGAACCCCCACGAATTTTGTTGGTTGCATCTCTAATTTCAACCAGAGAAATGCCGTGTTTCTGAGGCCTGACCTTCATATTTTCAGGGGATTGACATGAAACGGTCTCCAACAACCAGACATTTTCTCAGTATGTGGGTTTGTCCGAAAATAGGTTACCCCCAAATTCACAGATGAACGACAGTTTTTTCCCTACAGAAATGGCCATAGCTTCGGGGATATCCGCGATTTCCGGACACACCTAAATATCATGGTGTTGATATATATATATATACACATACATATTCATACATACATACACACATTCATTACATTACATTACATTACATCACATCACATCACATTCCATTACATATACATACTTACTATAATATATATATATGTATTCCTAGTTGTTCCATGTACAGTATTTCGATTTACAGTTTCTATCCGCACAAGATAGTTGGCTTTTGCCCCATGTGAATGTGCAGACACGCCCATGTTGTTTTGTGGTGCATGACGCGTTTGGCGTTCTACAAGGCTCCGCACAGCAAAGCCATGGTTTTTACCACTGCCTTTTTCTGCAAAGTGACCCTTCAACATCTAAATCAAGTCTGGGACAAGCTTTACTGTGACGAAAAGCACCACTTTGAGCGGGAGAACAATCTGCAATTCTAAGTGCTGCCAATCAGAGATTCAGGAATGTTAGGAAGTTGACAATAGGTAAGTTACGGGAAAGCGACTAAGTGTTTATCCTCTACAAGAACTCCACCCAAAGACTTGGATGTTGTGCGGTGCCCACTGCAATACTTCCCCTTTGGAGCACGCTCGGCCGCGGGGCAAAGAGATGCAGACTGGAAAGCTGATCCATAGGTATCCAGTCGGGTAGTCAAGGACAGTTAAACATTTTCATCCAGTGGTCCAGGAGAGTTCATGGTCCAGTGGTCCAGTGGTCCAGTGGTCCAGTGGTCATCCCAAGCAGCTGTGAAAAACCGGGATTGGGCAAACTCCAGCAGCACTCCCCGTCGGGCGCGCTGTAGATTTCTGGTCGGGGAGAGGAATCCACTTCTTTGGTCTGCCAGCCCCCCAGATCGCCACAGCACATTTCAGGGGGCCTGTGCTGATCGTAACAGCTTGGCCGTTTCATTTTGTTTTGTGTATATAATTGTATATATATATAATTTATCAATAATAATCATATCTAATTTTGATTTGGGCTGATGATTCCCCAGTGACAGTGATATTTTCAACCAGGGTGTCAACCACTTGATCAATGATCTGCAATGCTTCTATGAACCATTCGCCCCTGAAACCGGTTTTCCATCTAAACCATGGCACCAGTGCGAATAGGAATATGGTACCAGTAGTTTCTGCAATGCAAATTCGATCAGGAATGATCACGGCTCATTGGCTTAGAGTCTTTTCACTGTAATTCTTGTTGTCTTGTTCCTATAAATTATACATCAGTTTCATTCAATTCTGTGTATTATTATATATCATACTTGCTCTTGATTGATAATTTGATAGCAAGCAGATGGATCAAAACATATCCTCTGCCATGTTTGAGAGTGCAAACAAGCACATCTTCTGCGCACAGCCGAAAAACGTTTTGGTTTACTTGGTTAACGAACGGTGAGCTTTGTGAGCTTTCGGCTGTACATGGTGAAATACTTGGTGAAATATCCCATTGAGAATGAAACTTTTACAGGGTTGCCCCAACTCGTCATAGATAGATTCCTACCAAAGTTTTGAAGCTTTTGAGTTGACCCAATCTCCCCCCTTTGTGTCTGGGGCTTCGTAGCAAGCTGTAGCAAGCTTGTCCTCCTCCCACCGGTCTGTCAATGAGCTTTGGCCCATCACTGTTCGGCGCGACCCTTTTTCTTCGGCCGCCCCGATGCAGCTGCGAAAAAGCACCCCTGGTGCTGGTTGTCACTTGGGGGTTTGAGACGCTTCACCCCAAAAATGGGGAAGTTGGGGGCCCTATTAAGAATGACCTCCCATTTTGATCCATTTTGGATATTTGTGGATGAAGGAGTCCAACTGGGTTAATTCCCTGATCATTGGAATGGATGAATGATTGACTGGGTTGTCCACGGAAGTACATGAATATAATTATCAACAAAAAGGGAAACACAACAACAGCACTCAAACATCTATCAAATGTTATGTAAATAATGTGGTAAATCCAATATTGAGCCTCCAATTTTGGAGGGTTTACTGAATACACAATTTGGTATTGAATGTCCCTATTTCTGCGATTCAAAGAACAATCTTCTCGGCTGGGACCCCATACTGGCTGGGGTTTGCTTAATGTCACGGTCTCAGGTCTGTTTCCATTTGGGGCACTTGACAATTTTGACCCAGTTACAAATGATGAAACACTGTGAAAAACACGGAGGTACAGGGGATGTCGAATACTCTCACCCAGGAACAGTTGAGGATGAGGAAATCTATAATTATATATATATATATTATAGTATATAGATACAAAACTGATATAACTAACCCAGTTGAAAACATGATCCGCTTGGACCCATCTCAGCTTTCCACCGCTTGGACCCAAGACGTTTTACCGGCCACAGGAGATCCACAGCGTTGTGGTGCTGCTGGGCCTGTCCTTCTTCGGATTCGTTTGGGGCCTCACAGGCGCTGGAGAGGGGAAACGTGAGGATTTAACCAGCAAGATCTACCCTCTGGTAAACGTTTACATAACTATGGAAAGATCCACCATTTTTAATGGGAAAACTCACTATTTCTATGGCTATTTTCAATAGCTATGTTAAATTACCAGAGGGTAGCACCTTTTTTTAAGCCATGAAATCCATGAAAGATGATTGGTAAAATGGGGATTGGTAAAATCAAACATGATGGAACAACGGGATTTTTAAGGATCACTGATTCAAGAATCAAAAGTGGGGATTTCAACTGGTGATATCCTCTGGCAATCATACATGGCTCGAACTATTGTATCCTATAAAGATATTATTTTCCTGCTGGAAAAAATGTTATTCCAGACACTTTGATTGCTAGAGGGTAGTATGGAAACGAGATGCTAGAGGATACTGAACTAATGACTGAGATATGCTCCGAACAGTTGGCGTAGAGGCAATCACCCAATCACCGTCCTGCCGAGTTCAGGGATGATCCCAGCAAACGCTGCTGCTTCCAAGAGGGTGACAGGAAGAGTCTTAATCTGACAAATTCTGATGTGCCAAAAGCAATGATGATCTTGACCCGACTGCTAAGTTAACACTTTAAATTGGTATAACGGTATAACGTTCATGATCATGTTCCCCGTCAAGTGGGCCCTATATTGGGAGCCAAGAACACACAGCTGCTGTGGCCAGCTCCCATCTCCTGTGTCTTCTGGATCATCAGCCCTTATGACATCTACAATCATTTTACAACCATTCTTTTTGATCATTCCATAACCATCCATGAGTGTTTTAGGTAATCATCCTCCAACCATCTAAAACCAAGCATGGATAGCTGGGAAAGCCCCAAGAAAATGGAGGTTTTAATGGGAACATCAACTATCAAAGGGTGGATAGAACCATCCAAAAACCATCGAAATGGTTTTTCATCGAAAACCATGGAAGCAATCATCAATGGGAATTTCAGGATCCTAAAATGGAGGTACTGTACCATATAAGGCCATATTTTGTTGGGATATTCCCTTACATAGGCCTTATACAGGCCTTATTTATGGTAGGTACCTCCAATTTAGGTTCCTGAAATGGCCATTGAATTCATGGGAAAATCCATGGGAAAATCATCCTTTTAACCAACAAAAAAACCATGGAAGAAACCATCGAAATCGCCCCAGCGGGCCAGGAATGTTCCTCTCGGTGCCCCTTCTCTTCGCCATGCACGCCTGGTTGGACACCATCGCCAAGAGGGACAGCTATGGCCAGGAGGCGCTAAGGGAGTCGCAGCTGAATGGAGCTTTTTGAAGGGGAAAAGAACTGGAGAAGGCCAACCCCGGATTAATATTTATATAAACTATGGTTTATTAATAAGGGTTTTTTCCTGAAGTGACAATCTGATATTTAAATGGTACCCCATTAAACAGCCGTTTGGGGTTTATTAATCCAGGGTTGAAATTAACTAAGACAAGTTCCTCGATTTTCATGCAACGAAAGTTGATTTGAACATGGTTTTTCCAATAACAAAATGGATTTGTCATTTATTTTTACAAACAGTTTCAGAATTGTAGCAACCAATTTCTTTCATTTTAAAAACAAGTTCAGCTTGAAGAACGAGGGTGTCATGGATAAACACGGGCTGAAGCCTCAATATACCAACAATGAAGACACCTGCGTGTACTATCAATCTGGGACCTTCTTTCATGGCCTCTGTTAATGCAAGGTGGCTTATGTAGATGCTGTTCCTGTCAAAACTGTGGATTTCAGATTGTCACCAGGCCATAATGAAGCCCGACGAACCCCCCCGAGTTTTTGATTTTGCTTGGAAAACGGGAAGGTTCTGCCATGATATCTTATGGGTGTTCCTGCACTGACGCCAAAACGCAATTGTGGCAGATTCAGCACCGACATATGCTGACTTAGTAAGATCCTCAATTTTTGTGTAGTCTACCTCTTTGGGCAACCGGTTCATTCTACTCTTTTGGATTACTCTCTGGTAATTTAACATAGCTATTGAAAATTGCACATTTATAGTTGATTTACCTATTAAAGATGGTGATTTTCAATAGCTATGTTAGTTTACCAGAGGGTATTCTATTCTACTCTTTTGGATTTCACACCATTTTTTGTAGGACTTCTAGCACTTGTATCTCTCAAAGCCACTGGCTTCTTGTGTTCTCCACCCCAAATCCAGTGGCTGATCATCATTTTCATTGTTGCGTAACCATAAATTGGGTGTTAATTCATCATTTTCAGGTACAGTACCAAATCCAAAAATCTTATGTCAAGCTGGCGAACAAAATTCCACTTGATATCCCCACAAGTTACCATGGCTTTTATTGCTAAATCATATCAATCCCTTCCCCATACGTAATATCGAATACTCTGTGGAAACCACGGTTTTAGTGCTAGATCGGCTAGATCTATTCGCGATCTGGGTGCTGAGGGGGGTATTTGATATGGGGGGATAGGATTACACATGGTTATCGCTGGTTCAAGCTTTTTGATTCCCATCTTTCAGGGTTAACCCCCAATTTTTCACGTTCAATCATACTAAACATCCTCATTTCCGTTGAAAAATGGTGGTTTTAAACACTAAGACACAATCCTCATGTCCCATTGGGCCCATGTTTAAACCACCATGGATTTCGATTTTATGAAATGCCGAGGCCTGTGAGGACGCGCGCTTCATCATGGGCATCCTGGAGGGCCGCTGGTTGGCCACGGTGGACGAGGATCCACATCAACCGGGCACCGTCAATCTCCTCACCGGGCACATCGAGGCGGGACAGCCGGGCGATGTTTTGCGATTTTTGGGTGCATGGTTAGTAAAGAAAAAACATCCATTGAGGATGCAAACAACGGGATGTTTTTTTTTGGTTGATGTTGCCATTGACTAGTTGGACAATATTATTATATGTTATTATATCATACTATATCAAAGCCTAGCTATTGGAGCTATCAACTTCGCCAACGTGCACCACCCTGTGGGGGTTACACCCCACGGATTTTTTAGCCAAACCACTGGCATCAGGGACGTCCATACCATACGATGGTTGGTAAATCTGCGGATGTCTTGTCTTTCTGGTTCATATTACCCTCTGGTGAACTAGCTGTAGAACGTTGCCATTTATAGATGATTTACCTATATATTCAAACTATGGAAATCACCATTTTCAATGGGAAAATCCACTATAAATGGTGATTTTCCATAACCTATGTTGAATTACCAGAGGTATTCCCAGTTTTGTTGATGAGATAGTTGCCAACGAGACTTTGATTGGGGATGGCTATTCTATACCGTGAATTCAAGGGTACCACGAAACAAAGGCTGGTTGTTAATGAATGGGGTACATCATCAGCAAAACGTTAGGGATAGTGATAGTTTTTTGTTCGATTTCTTCGGAGAACCAAAAGAAGCAACACCGATAATATACAGTACAGTATGTATATATATATACTGTGTATATATACATACTAGGATACTGCTAAACAAGAAATTGGTAGTCTCACCAAAGTTGTGAGTACACATCAATCTCTACAGACTGCTTGTGAAAGCAACTTTGCTGAACAATTAGAATATTATTTGACGGAAATAAGACATAGTCGAACCCCCAATGTTCCTTTTACATAATAAAAATCTGTATATATATATGCCTATATTACATTATTACTATATCCACACACAATATATAATATTATATATATATATACAACGGTTGGTATATTGCAGAACCACGTATCCCCAAATATCATCTAATATCAGAGGGCTATTTTGGGATATTGTTTGTCGGGTAGAGAAAGTCAATGTCTGAAAGCAGGGGATATCCAGCAGTTCTGTCTAAACCGCAAAGGTTAGGGGTTTTGATAGTTTTTCAGACATACTGTGGATGGGAGACATCGTGCACCAGCTGGTAGGTGGTTTATCGGTTTATCCCGTTATAATCCCACTTTGGAGTGTTTCATAGGTACTAACAGTTACCAACTGGTGCAGGATTTCTTCCATCCACTGTACCACAACATACCCTCTGGCAATTCAACATAGCTATGGGAAATAGCCAGTTTAGTTCGATGATCTACCGTTTTTAAAGATGGATTTTTACATGGTGATTTTCAACAGCAATGTTAAATTTCCTAAGGATAGCCCATCAATATTCCATGAATATATTACATCACTAATGTTCCACTATATCCCCATTATATCCCGATTTTTTCTGGAATATTGATGGTTGAATCACCCCAAAATTCCCCAACTATCATGAAGTCACCATGAAATGACATTACGTCTCCCCAATAATCTCCCCATCATAGCACCATGCCAGTTAGTTCAGTCACCATCAAACTGATGGCGAAACATGATATCAATCAATGATATATATATATACATACAATTATATACTTATATATATATATATATCGGTCATACATATATATATATATATACATAAATCCTATCAACTCCCATTCATCGACCATTTTTGGTTGCTGAAGTCCATCCATTTTGGTTCACCAGGAAGAGGAGCCTTGGGCGGAGCGTGAGGAGCACGAAGGTGCCATGGGTCATTCCGCCTCGCAGGAGGCGCGGTGTGCGATGGCCTGGTGAAACGGGTACCCTCTGGTTATGTCCAAAATAGCTATTGAAAATGGCCATAGAAATAGTGGATTTACCCGTTGAACATGGTGATTTTCCATAGTTATGTTAGTTTACCAGAGGGTATATAAATGGAGAATATTGAATGGGAATTAACCACTAATATGTCATAATACCATGAATTGATTGAACGTGCATCGGATATATAACAATGTTAAAATTGTTTTTTTACTATTACATTACCTGAACTGAACATATGGGGAAATATGGGGAATATTGAATGGGCATCTAATGTCATGGTGACTTAATGATAGTTGGAGAAAATCACGGGAATATTTATGGGGATTCAGCCATCAATATTTTCCATAGCTGTTTTACTGTATTACTGAATGGTAAGACCCCAAAAAAGATAAGTCAGTGGTAAAACGACGGTTTCCGCCTTTTCCTAAAATTGGATGATGGGACAATAATTACTTGTCAACACATGTCAAAACAATGGTTACTATGTTGGGAAGTTAGTTGATGAATGACCTGATCCCTTGATAAGTGTGAAGGGTTCCAGGAGCCTGGCACGGATGGAGGTTGCACTGGAGGCTTTTGGGCAAGTACATTCGATTAATGTGGTAAACCCAACACCATAAACCTTCAAGTGGGATCTGATATCTTTTGTACCACCCAACTCCGTGGGTGTATTTTTATGTATTTTTGCAGCAAAAGTGGGGGATACAACCCACCAACATCACACATGGATATAGAGGTGATCAACCAGGTTGGAAGATGCAATCAAACAGTGGTCACAGTGCGCATCAAGAACGGGATCAGTGATGATGTACGGCCGAACAAACCCACAATAATCCCATGCTCCTAATGTTTAAAGAACCCACAAAGACGCTTTGCCTTAGTATTGGATCCATTCGTGAATTCGGGTCGCCACGGGTGGTATCTAATAAAATGGTTGAAGGGACCAGGTACCCAATTCTAGCGGTAAGTACCCATTAATTATCATTAATTTTCATATTTTAGTGGTAAATGTCAATTTTTTTCATGGTAGATACACCAATCAATAGCCATTTGGGTTGCAACACTTGTAACGCCTAGAAATTTTTCAAGGTTAAATCCCCTTGAAATCCTCGAACTTGGGCCTAGATTCCTAGATCCCCGTCAGGCGGCACCTGTGGCCAGCTGGAAGTGCACGGAAAGGTGCAAGGTGGGGCCCGAGGGCCAAAATGGTGGGATGATTGGGGGATATAAAGGGGGATATATATATATATATATGTATATGTATATATATATATGTGTATATATATATAAAGGGTATAGGGTATATCTAAAGTGAGATATCCAAGTTATATACATATATATATATATATATATGGAGGTGTAGGATATATATATATATATAGGACTTAGATATCTCACTTGAGCAACAATTAGCGACAATTGTGGAAAGGGACACAATTGGATGGTATGGTTTATGGCTTAACAGGGGTCAATATACCAAGTAGAAGGAATCGCTTAAATGATGGTGATCCATCGGAGTAATGGGACAATCGAGGAGATCATGGGGATATAAATGGATCTAATGGAATACATACGTATAAACCAACTTGATGCCTTTGAATTTGTCCAGAAATGGCGATCTAATGTGGATGGCGAATGGGGAATCACGGGGATGAAAATAGAGATATGATCGGGTACATCACCGACTTGACATGATAATTATACAATATTATACATATATATATAGGATTATAGGTTTCGCATGGTTTCTCCCAGAAATGGATTATACACCTCCAACATGGTCATTTTAAGGTTTAACATGTTGATTCACAATTGGATTTCGGGGTAAAATCCTAGTGCCCTCCTGAATATCATCCTAGTGCCCTGTGTCCTGGTGAATGGATGTTCATCCCGAATTTCATATGGGGCATTGGTATTGACCAATCCTCACAAGTGAAGATATTTGGTCATGGGGCAGAAATTAAGGCCCAGGGGACCGCAGAGCCACAGAGTGACTCTTTATGTTTTTCAGTTTTTGAACCATCAAACGCGACGGAGAAGAGCGGGGAGAACTGATTTAGGTACACCTTCATCAAACATGGGATATAATTGGGAGATATGGGTAGTGAAATTGGTTGGAACATGGGGTACAACCATGAAGGATGATGGGTACTGGGTCCATTTTTGGTTATCAATGAGGGAATACGTCCTATCCAGTGGAAGATAAGCAATGGACATTTTACCATACTGTAGGGTGTGGTCATGACACCACCAATAGGGATACCACCAGTATGTAGTCAATCGGGATGTAGCCTAGCAACTGAAGGGTACGAGTAGGAATATGGATAGTAATGTAGAAACCATCAAGATTGGGGATATCTAGGGAATACGCTGGCTGGAATCGTTGGTGAAAATAACTTTTGGAGATGGAATCATCAAAACCAGGAATTGAAGCAATAACTGGCTGCGGCCCTCTGGTAAACTAACATAGCTATTGAACATCACCACTTTCAAGAGGTAAATCAATTGTAAATCACCATTTTCAATCGCTATGTTAAATTCCCAGAGGGTAATTGATGAAGGGAACATCTACAGGAACCCCCCGTAGTTCCGGCTACAAAATCAAGGTTGCCTGGAACCATTTCCCTCTAATTCATTGAATAATACATTGATATATTTCGATTAGGAATCCTGACTATTCATCCAGCTGGGGAGAACCAAGTGAAGACTTCCCATCAAAGCGACTTCGGTCCCACAGCTCTGGACGTACTAAGCGTGACTCCAAATTAAGTCGTTGGAGTGGTCTCAAGTGTGAGGCAAACATAACTTGATATCAACAACAGAATTGATTGAGATGATATTCACACAAGCAAGAACAGTTGGGATGATTCGAACAGTTGGGGGTTGAGGATGTATAGCATTTCTGTCCTATGTTGGAACTCTTCCAGCTCACTGATGGCCTGACACTGCCAGGAATGCTTGGAACTGCGAGACCCACAGACTGGTGAGGCGACTGGAGCCATCCCGGTTCCCAAGTTCCCAAGCTAAAGCTGTATCCAGGGTTGGCTCATATCCCTTGATTTGTTGCCAACCCCCAATCACCCAATCTATATCAATCTATTGTATTGTAAAAATTGTACCCCCCTAAAAGATAGAATAGCGTAATTTACCATCAGTCTACTGTAGTAGGATTTTACTCTTCTCTCGTATGTTTTTTTTTTTTTTCGGTTGCCATACTTTGGATTGCTTCAATCCCATCACTTTGAGGCACCATCTCCGGGTGGCCGTCGGCAGGTCTTGGTTCTGGGGCTGCTACTTCGATGGATCCTGATGGCAGGCAGATCAGCTCAGCGTCTGCCAACGGATAGGAAGCGAGAAGAATCGGATGTTTGAAATCCAGCGAACATCTGGAATTTCTATGAATTTGCGACACATTGTTGCATCGGCTGGATGACTGGTGCATTTTCGGGGACCTGTTATTTGGCAGTCAGTTCTAGTAACTAGTACTGGGCAAAAAAGTAAAGTGGTTTAGGGGATTGTGGAGCATGATCATCCAAGTCGCCGTGGGTGACCAGCAAGCAGAGGCGTCATCGTCCCGAGCAGTGGTCAAGAACCACTAGTCACTGGTCAATTGAGCCATTCAAAATACCCTGGTTGATTGGTTAGTATAGTGACTTATACATACTTATACTATCTAATTTATTGGGTATGATAACCCATAGCATTTTCGGAGGATTTATCACCAGCTGGCTTCGATTTTAGTCCCGACTGTATCAACCAGTGCCATTGGTGAAATCCCATATGCAAGCAGGAAACTAAGCGTGTAGATCACCTTTTAACCATCATGAATCCAAAAACTTGGTAAATGGATAAATGGTTAGATCCCGGCAGATTGGTATTTGTTGGGTAAGATCCAGTGTAAGCTCAACTTTTTCAGACTGTTTCATGTCTTTTCCCAGATCTCACCATCGATTTCCAGAGTAACCCACACACTTCTGCGGGCTTTATACTGTTTTTAAGACACTGTCTTATAATTCTGCTTGCTTAAAACCATCCAGTGTTCCCCCAAAAATGACCCCCCAAAATGTTTTAAAACGATATTTTTCTATGGACTTTTCGTTCTTTTTTTTTTCAGACTTTTCAGGGACTCGTGGGTTACCAGGCACCTACACCTTCGTCTTTTTCGGCTTCTGGATCTTCCACTGGGACCTTCATTTTCTGATCCATCCCTCAGGGGGCCAGGCGGCACTGATCCTTTCGGCGCCATCATGGATTTATCAGTTTCGGATCACCATTCATTTCATTAGTTATGTTGGTTAATATATATTGTTAATATGGAATATGGAATAATGTTATTATAATGGAATAATGGATCAACCATTATAGGATAACTATTAATATTTCACTATTATCACCATTATTTTATGTTGGTTAATATGGAATAATATGCCATTATAAGTGAGAAACCATGAAATAACATGACATAATATTCCCCTGATGCTGTTGAAACATGTTGAAATATGTTGATCCATCGGGAACAAAACTGAAGTCGAGTGTGGTGCAGCTGAAATGGAATCAGAACTGTTGCAACACGACCAAGGGTTCTTTTCGAGCGATCGTTTGCTGTTCCATGCTGTTACTGTACAGATTCTTTCGAAACAATTAGTTTAACCTGCGAAGCATCCGGATTTCCACATTCTCTTTTTGAACTGCTGCAAGACTTTGTGGGAATAGATGAACAAATATGGTCCCTAGGAACTGCGGAAATTAGAGATCCTGGCTCACTACAACCAGCTTTGAAGCATTTGACCCCTTTGCTTACCTCAAGTTTGACAGAAATTCCTGCACAGTGGTCCCGGGATACATTCAGCAACTGCTTTACTTGATCACTCCGTTTCTTTCATATGTCAGGGTCCCCAAAAGAGAGAGAGAGAGAGATATATATATATCATATATACATGCACATATAAAGACAGAGCATTCAAACACCATGAACATTTTGTGCATTTACATGCGCTCACTTTTCCATCTGTCGGGGCACTCTTATTCACCATTGAGACTTCTGGCCACTATCAGATACAAAAGTAGCCTGCAACCGATTTGACCTCAATTGACGCCTAGCTGGGCACCGTCCCATTTATGGCTAAACACCTACAGTTGGTCATATCCGCATTGTTTGTTTTTTTGAATTTAATTTCTATCCGCATATTTGTTTCCAAAATTTGTCGGTTTAGCTAATTATTTAATGGATTAATATACCACAATTTCAAGGTTCACCTTCCCATTTTCATGGCCGAACCCAGCCATGACGCGGGGCCCCTTCGTTCCTGCGCTGCTCAGATGTTCAACGCCACCAGCCATGTGAACGTCGTGCCGGTGGCCAGCCATGTGAACGTCGTGCCGGTGGCCCCTCGTAAAAAATGACGGCAAGGGGGCTGTGGCAGCTGGGGAAAGCGTGGTGAATGGTGTGTGTGAATCGCCATCAACTCCCAAAAAACCAGCCTTGCATGTCATTCGACCCCGGCATGGGCAAATGGTCTGCTTTCAGATGCTTTAAGCAAAACGTTTGATATCCGGCAAAAGAAGTAGTTGAGGAAGAGGTTTGCCTTCCTCATCAAGAAGGCGGAGAAGATGATGGTTTTTGTGTGGGCAAGAGGTCTTAATTGGTGCCCCAGCATCTGCGATGGCACTTTGGTTGATGGATGGGTTTGTCGAAAAATAGGGTACCTCGAAATCCCATAGCTTGTCACCATTTTCCCGATATTTCCCGATTAAACAGCAATGTTTTTTGGGATCCCATCCCCCGTTTCCAGACTCCCAGATGACCATCCGCTTGGGATCCCTCCCGCTCAACAGGTGGAACCCAGCAAGGGGAAGCCCGTCACAACAAAGGGGTGCTATCATTGCATCCTTGTCGGATGCATTTAAACGACCAACCATTTGATGAATACTTACATCAGTTACTGTGTACCTTTATATTATATTATAATATTATATAATATATATATATGTACATTCTTGCCACATTATTGCTATTACTCTTATCACTCTTATTTCTATTATATATTGCTATTACTGTTACTGTATTATATACCCATTGTAATTTTCACTAATGCTGATAGTAAGAACAATTATAGTACAAGTAATGACTAGTTACTAACAATGATTAATGATGATCATATATACGTGAGTATCATGAATGATTGCCAGTAACTATCATTCATTATCTATTAGATACATCTATCATTAAATTCATGATACCCCGTGGTAAATTAACATAGACCCTGAACATCACCAATTTTTGGTGGAAACTAATTTTCCAACCCCTATTTGGCAGGGTCAAACTGTTAATTTACCAGAGGCAAAACGCCAAAACGCCCGCCCCACGCCCGCGATTCGGCTTCCCAGGTGCCACTGAGCACTGCGGTTCCGCACGCGGAGGCCGTGGGGACCATGGGGAGCATCGATGTTTGGGGACCATCGGATGGGGGTTTTGACTAGCCAACTATTGACATGAAGATCTACATTTATTGACTATATATTATATATCTATGATATTATATATAGCCAACTATTGACTATCCAATTATTGACTGTTCAAAGATTGAAATCTACTTTTGTGCTTGGGATGCTAGCAGATTCCATCTGTGTGCCGGTGAAGATCAACCAACTTATAACTTTTTCATAGCACCACTTTGAAGGAATGGATAGCTTTCCTGGTATTGTTCACGCAGCACATTGAATATATTGAATCAACCGCTTGTCCATGGCAGGTCAGTACTACAATAGCCATGACGATGGCACAGGCTCGGGAAGTCAAGGAGGACATGGTTCATACCCGCATGAGCCATACTAAAATAACCTTGTTCATTGGTTGTTATAGTGGAGTATACCACCTGGTTTGATAGTAGTTGCATGGTTTTTTCCTTATAATTAACCCAAAATAGGAACACCTGTGAACCAACCAATAGCTTGGGACATCACACGCCATGTTGCAGGGTGGCATGATCTTCTCTGTCACAAACTGGTTGGCAAAAATGCGACCGATCATGGTCCCACTGAATGATGTCCTTTGAGATAAAATCGAAGGTCCTAGAAGGTCCTATATGGGATAGGTTTTTCCATCCTCATTTACATAAAATGGGTTGTTCAATGGTGGTTCCTCCTCCGCCTCCTCCTATGAATCAACCAACTGGTGAGGTACATGATAGGATCCTGTAGGATATTCGCAGGATACTATTAATCACCATTTTTTTGATGGTAAAATAATGTTTAAATGCTATTAATCACCATTAATACCATGTTTGATGGTAAAATAACCATGTTAGATGGTTCGCTGAGGTGATGACCATCCCACTTTGTTTCATCCCATCATCCGCCAGCGTCTGAGGTAATGACCATGGCACCACACTTTCCCTTCAGGCGTTCTTCAGTTCCGAGTGGCGCTGTTGTGTTCAGGATGGATGGATATATAATATAATATATATATATATAATATATATAATATATAATATATATAATATATATAATATAATATATATATATATAATATAATATATATAATATAGTATAATATATAGATATAATATAATATATATATATATAATATCATAGATATATAATATAATATAATATAATATATAGATATAATATAATATATATATATAATATCATAGATATATAATATAATATAATATAATATAATATAATATAATATACAGTCAGTGCCAGAATTATAGAACGGAGCCAGGAGGACAAAAGTACGGTAAAATACCGTACCTTTGTCCTCCTCCGGGTTCCGATTCGGAGCGGAGTCGGGAAATTTAATTATAGAACGGGGAGGAGGACAAAGGTACGGTATTTTACCGTACTTTTGTCCTCCTGGCTCCGTTCTATAATTTCTGGCACTGACATGATATTTACTGCATATTTGTACATATACAATCTATAAAATGAAGATTTAATGAGGATTTAATGAGGATTTGATGAGGAAATGAAGATAAAATGCAGATAAAATGAAGATTTGATGAGATAACGAGGATAAAATGAGGATGCTGTAACATGAGGATAATGAGGAAATGTGGGAAAAATGGGGGAAAACAGAATTATAGAACAATAGCGCTCCGACAAGAATTATAGAACGACGAAAAAAATTAGGAGGAAGATCAGATACATTTTTTTTTCATACCTTCCGAGGAAAACAGAATTATAGAACAACAGGGTACGGTAAATAACCGTACCTTCGTACTCCTCAACTTCCGTTCTATAATTCTGTTTTCCCCCATTTTTCCCACATTTACCAGGTGATTTTCTTAGATTTCATGGTGATTTTATAAGATTTCATGGTAATTTTATGGGATTCCATGGTAATTTTATGGGATTTCACGGTGATTTTCTTAGATTTCATGGTGATTTTATAGGATTTCTGGGACCCCGGAAGAGGTTCTATAATTCTATAATTGATTTTTCCGTTCTATAATTAATTTTTCCGTTCGACGGAAAAATTAATTATAGAACGGGGCCCGGGGAAAATTAATTATAGAACGAAAATGGGACATGTGAGAAAAATGGGGGAAAACAGAATTATAGAACAACAGCGCTCCGACAAGAATTATAGAACGACGAAAAAAATTAGGAGGAAGATCAGATACATTTTTTTTCATACCTTCCGAGGAAAACAGAATTATAGAACAACAGGGTACGGTAAATAACCGTACCTTCGTCCTCCTCAACTTCCGTTCTATAATTCCGGCACTGACCATAATATAATATAATCGAAGGAAGTTTAGAAGTCAAACTTCCGACAATATGGAGAGATGAAAAGCAGAGCAGGGCAGAGGCAGAGAGAAGAGGAAGATTAGAAGAGAAAAGATCAGAAGAGAAAGAGTAAGAAGACAGAAGATACAGATGCACGAAAAGGTAGGAAAGTCGCGAAACACTGTGTTTTTCCAATGATTTGTGGCTCCGGAGGGTCGAAAAGTAGGCTCGCTAAAGCGGCGGGTGCGGAGCCAGCTGGCTAGACGAGAGATGAAAAATTGCACGCCGTTGTGGTGTGAAGCACATTTCGAAGTCAAAATGTACAAAACACACCATTCTCGGACCACTTTTGGAAGTTGAGATGTCGAAAAAGTGCACGCCGTTGTGGTGCGAAGCACATTTCGAAGTGAAAATGTACAAAGCACACCAGCTCCGGACCACTTTTGGAAGTTCAGATGTCAAAAAAGTGTACGCCGTTGTGGCGCGAAGCACATTTCCAAGTCAAAATGTACAAAACACCGCAGCTCCGGACCACTTTTGGAAGTTGTGATGTCGAAAAAGTGCACGCCGTTGTGGCGCGAAGCACATTTCCAAGTCAAAATGTACAAAACACCAGGGGTTCGGACCACTTTTGGAGGTTGCGATGTCGAAAAAGTGCACGCCGTTGTGGCGCGAAGCACATTTCCAAGTCAAAAGTGTTAAAGACTGACGGTCTCGGACCACTTTTGGAGGTTCAGATGTCGAAAGAGTGTCGAAAAAGTGCACGCCGTTGTGGCGCGAAGCACATTTGGAAGTCAAAAGTGTAAAAAACTGAGGGTTTTGAGCCTTTTTTGACGTGCTGATGTCGAAAAAGTAGACACTGCTTAACTTAACTAACTTGACTAACTTAAGTAACTTCACTAACTTAACTACCCTAACTTCGACGACAACAGCAACAACAACAACAACAACTACTACAACAACTACTACAACTACTACAACTACTACAACTACTACAACTACTACAACTACAACTACAACTACAACTACAACTACTACTACTACTACTGCTACTACAACTACAACTACAACTACAATTACAACTACAACTACAACTACAACAACTACACAACAACTACAGCTACAACTAGAACTACAACAACAACAACAACTACTACTACAACTACAACTACAACTACAACAACTACAACTACAACTACAAAACAACTACAGCTACAACTATATGACTGCAACTACACTACACTAATTACATTACACCACAACTACAACTCCACTACCCTACAACTACAACTACAGTTGCAGTACATCACACTACATCCAGCAGTTGTGGTTGAGGTGACCACTGCAACCATTGCAACCATTCCAGCAAACACAACTCCAACCACCTTTCGGTCAATCAGTGGATTCGCTCTGCCATCCGTGATTCACAACAACCAACGTCTCCTGTAGGTTTCCTATTCTGAAACTTCCGCCACCGCCTTGTGCGGTACTACTGGTATGATATGATATGATATGATATAATATGATATAATATGATATAATATAATATAATAAAATAACTATACGTATATATATATATATATAAAGTCACCATTGTTGTTTCAATACTAAAATGGTCATCCATGACTTGGATGATTTGGGTTAATATATAGTCGGAAACCTCCATATAGGAGCTGTACAACTTAGTGTACTCTCAGCAGATCTCAGCAGCTAACTTTTGATGGGGATGTATTCATCTCAGCATGCGTCAGCAGCTAAATGTTATAAGATCGATTTTCGGTTGGTATGTAAGACTGCCCATGCAAAGGTTTTGTCCAAAATGGGAGATGGGCCTCCATTTGATATATATATATATAGATAGCCATTCGAGGAGCATGCAGTCAAGATGCAAATTTTGGGGCGGCGATCCTGTTGCCAGGCAAAAACCATCTATCCCAACATTGGGGAATGATAGGGAATGCGGGTTTCAAATTGAACTTCACAAAAGCATGAATTTGGTATACGCCCTTGAAACGGGATTCTGGCCCTCATCCAGGTGGTTTCAAACAATATTCTTCCCTTTCAACCGCTCTTGCTTGGGATGCTCAGCCCCAATTCGCTGAGATTTAGCAGTTTGGTTTCAATCACTCAGCCAGTGTAGCTGACAACCTGATTCGTGAGTCGTCGCGACTAGACCCGCGCATTCCCCCGTGTATGGGTCAAGATTGAAGATCCCAACAACTTTCGTGCAATTTCTCTTTTATACATAGATCACGATAGATTATCTATCCCATTCTTCCTTCAACTTTATCGAAGTAGATCATCTATAGATCATCTCTCAAATGTTCAGAAATTATCCAATTCTTCAAGTACCTACACTTCAATTTTCCCTTCCCTTGTTTTTTGGTGAAGATGACCACTCGCGCCAGGCCCGAGGGAGAAGACCTTCACCCTTCCGACGAAGGCAGGGAAAACCCCTGGGAGTTGAGAAGAGAATTGGTTCCCAGAGAGTTTTTAGATGTTTGCGCGAGTAGATCCCACACGTTCCTATATGTTCCTATGGTTGATTTGAGGGAAAACTTTGAGATGGTTGATTTGAGGCTTGAGGCGTCCAATTCTTCGATGTTTTTTTGGGAGGTGAGGTATTGCTTGGTCCGACTTTTTAAAACATTGGTTCAAGGATTTTGGGCAACCTAACCTTGATCACTCCACAGTACTAGATATACATGCAATTCATGTAATCGTATATTATTTGGGTTTCTGGAAATGGGAGATCCCCAAGGCACCATGGGTTTTGCTACTAACATGATCTAATGACTTGGATGATTTGGGGGTACCCCCATTTAGGAACCCCCCCATATATCCTGTTTGGACGGATTATGGGACCATTAGTGATCTCAAAAGAATACACTGAAAGTAAGGAAGACCAGGAAGACCATCTTAATGTGGGTTGGTGGGAGGTTTGAAATCACCCAGATATGTTTGTCGGATGAGATCGCTGTCCTAGGCAGCAAACATGGGCATTTTTTGCCTCACAGAATGAGGATCATGTGTAAAAAAGCCTTGCAACGATGTTGAAATCGATCATGCACATTGCATGATGCATGAATATGTAAAATGATTATATAATTATATATACATATGATCACACACATGTATATAACTTTAGATGACTATATAAATATGACAAACACATATGTATATATATATACATGCTTTCAATACGAGCCAATTTATGCAAAGCTTGACCCACACCTTTGAACCGACGAGATGTGAAGTTCTGCATGGTGGCAGGTAGTATTTTAAGGCTACACAGCACAGGCTTTTGGGTGGATGGAGAGGGATGATCCACTGGTTTTTGCCACCGATTCTGGTGCAAATGTCTGATCTGCGATGACCTGTTTTTTTCCAGAATTGGTTTAAGGGGGTAAACACAGATCGGTTCCCTGGTTCCAGATTTTCCCTCGAATCAACCCATCCAGTCTTTGGATTTTACCTCAAACGAGGTTCTTTCCAAGCGGCAAGCTTCACTTCCACACCTTCCATGTTTCATTACTTTCTCAGGTTAGTTTTCCTAATCTTTCACAATCTGTCACATCATTCCATATCATATATCTATGTATATATATATATATATGTGTGAAATCCACTCGTGAAGCCAACCTTGCTTTGACCTGAGACCTGCAGATGCCTTTCCTGGCTTGCTGAGCACTAGGCTCAAAGGCCAAAGGGAGGGCTGAGGTGTGGGCTCGCCGTGCCGAGACTTTGGCGCCATAGCAAAAACCAGTGCTGTTGGGCGATCCGGGATTGCTGGATAAGTTTGACAGGGTCAACATCTTCGAGTATCACAGGGTGATCCTTTTTCTTCATCTTCTTCATTTGGTAGGAACCAAAGTGGACTAGCAGGGCTAGCTTGCAAGTTTGATAGGAAGCTGCCAGTGTGTTTTGGGGCTGCCACCCCATTCACACTGGTAGCGGAGCCAGGGGGTTCCGACTATTTTTTGAAAGAACCTGGATCCAGGGCAATTTTCCTTTGAAGTACTGGCAGCCGAGATGAGTGGGCTCGGAATTCCTGTACCAGATGATGTACCCCCGGTTTCAGCTTCTCAACTTCCGTGGCAGGCGATTCCAAAATTCACCCCAGGTGTTACGAATGTGCAAGACTATGTGAGAAAACTCAAGTTCCTGGCATCGATTTGGCCACCGGAACACCTTGACTTGCTGGCACCACGTGCCGCCCTTCAGGTGGAAGGTTCCGCCTTTACGGCTGTGTCTCGTTTAGATGGGGCCAAGCTGAGGGTGAAGACGCTTGATGGTGTCTCCTTGCTGGTGGAGACTCTGGGTGGACAATGGGGTTCAACAGAACTTGAAGAGCGGTATGAGTTTTTCGAAAAGGCCATCTACAGTACGACCCAGCGTCATGATGAGTCAAACGACTCCTACATCTCCCGCATGGAGGGTTACTTCACCGAGTTGATCGCTCGCAAGACCTCTCTGGAAGAGATTCAAGCATATGTTCTTCTCCGGCAGTCAACCTTGCCGTCGGAGGACAAGAAGAAGATTCTCTTGGAGCATGGTGGAAAACTTTCCTACCAGCCGGTGGTTAAGTCACTGAGGTTGATCGGTAGCAAGTTCTTCCACGAGTTCCAGACTGGGAAGGCCTCCACCAAGACGAAAGTGTATGACACGATGTTCACCGAGGAGAACGCCTCAACCAATGATGATGCCAATGAAAAGGTAGCCTTTGTAGGAATGCATGATGAAGAATATGAAATTGATCCTGACTATCTGGAAGCCATGGTCGCCCAGGATGACCAAGATGCACAGGTAGTTCAAAGCTTCGAGGCTGAGTTCGAAGACTTCATTCAGGAGACGCCCGAGATGCACCAGGCCATGGTGACGTATGTTGAAGCCCGACAGCGCCTGCTTGACAAGCGCAAGACACGAGGTTTCTGGCCGCCCAAAGGAGGTGGAAAATTTGGAACCAAGGGCAAGGGCTTCAAGGGCAAAGGGGGCCGCCAAGGGCTTTTAGCCCGGATTGCCCGCAGTACCTGCAGGCTGTGCAATCAGAAGGGCCACTGGAAAGCGGAATGTCCGCTTCGCAATTCGACCACAGGTGGCTCAAATCCCACGACGTCAGCCAACAATGCAGCTGCTGCGGCCAATGTGGCCATTCCTGAAGAACCTCTACATGATGAGCCTGAGATTTTCCTAGATGGTGAATTCAGTGATGAGGCCTCAGAAGCTGAATGTTTCACTGCGGTAGTTGGAACGGTAGGTGCTGTTTTCCCTCAAGACATGTTTGGTTTTAATAATCAACATAATCGTATAAGGTTGCAGCATCACATGTCCGGTCTTGTCCGTGTCAAGGGCCAGCCAAGAGGTCATCTAACGAACCCAGACCATCAATGTGTCCCCGTGTCCAATGCATCCGTAAACCAGTCCATGAAGACACGAAGCCTCCCAACATGTCATGACATGCACCGCCTGCACAGGAAGTCGGACATGGAGAAAATCGTTGAGATGCCCGTCCTCCAAGTCAGCGACGAGAAGAGCACCTTTGCCATTTTGGACACAGGTGCAAGCAGGTGTATCATAGGTACCAACGTTTTGCAAAAGCTACTGAGCAGATTGCCCAAGTCTGTTTGTAGGAGTTTAAAGGAGCGCCCAAGCCAGATCAAGTTCCGGTTTGGTAACAATGAAACCCTCACGAGTCAGAAGAGAATTTACTTTCCCTTTTGGAGTCAGAATTGTGAGAGAGTCTGGTTAGGCGTAGAAGTTGTCAAAGGCAGCACTCCGTTTCTCTTTTCGAAAAGAGCCTTCAAACAGCTGGGTGGCATTCTGGACACCACCAAAGATCGATGCACCCTGAGCCGACTGGAAAAGACAATCGATCTCGACACGAATGCCACGGGTTTGTACGTGATGGATGTTGTTGAGTTTTGTCATGAACATGATCCGACCAATAGCATGCCTGAAAGTTTTGTTGGACATGCCCAACATGTCAAGGGTTCTGAAGGTGTACAAAAGCCCCCATCCGTTCAGCACCGATGGACAGCACCACCTGCCTTTTGCAAAACCAAGTTGCCAATGCAATCCGAAAAGCCTTTTGAGTCTGTAGTTGTACATAGCAGCACTGGTCCAAGTACAGAGACAAAGCCTGAAGTTTCGTGCGCTCAACTTGCGAACCATGGTGACTCGCGCCCAGATGATTGGCATGTTGAAGGACGCAGCCAATGCCATCATGGCGACCCTGACTCTGGTGCTCCAGCTCTCCATGAGCCTGATCGAGATGAAGCCTCAGATGGACGAGGAAGAGATGCCGCCTGCTCTCACCCACCAGCTGGAAACCATGTGCCAAGAACTGGGTCGCCAGCGTCACATGCTTCAAGAGATCGTGGAACTGCAAAAGGCTGGCGCTGCCCTGGGAAGTCCCTCCGGGACAGATCTTCTTCCAGACCCCGAAGAGGATTCCTTCTCGGTGATCAGCTATGGAGGAAAATCCACAGAGTTGCCGACCATGAGACCAAGCCTGCCCGCTGGATCCAATCAGCGAGCTTTGGCCATCACTGGAATTCCAGTGACCCATGTGCCTCCAACACCCGTGGAAGGTCCACAAACCGTGACCTCAACCATGGTGACCAAGCCGGGCTCCATGCAAGGTCAGCTGACGCTGGCTCAATGGGGACAAAAGAAGATCGTTTGGGGGAAAAAGCACACCGGGAAGACCTACTACCAGACTCTGTGCGAAGACATGGGATATCTGGATTGGTGCCGAGCAAGGTACATGTCCTTGCCACCACCCCAGAAGGACTTCGTGGATTACTGCTGCGCTCAACTGGAGCACGATGCAGTGGCAGCTCGACAGAATGTCCCGGGCAACCAGTTCTGAGTGAGCCGTCCATAGGTTCCAGACTTGATCCAATGGTTTCCAAGGAAATTGAAGACTGTAGGTTAGCATGTGCACGTTTTGAGCCATACCAACATGCTGCCAAACATGACTCCAGTGTCTCCCATGCGTTGGAAACAGCAATTCATGTTGCGGACCAAGTCGTAGCTAAGAGCGTGCCAGGCCGAACGTCCCAGCCCTGTCACCTGTTGGAAATATATGCTGGTGAACACAGCCCTTTGACCGATGCCGTTAGAAGTAGGGGTTTATGTGCTCACCGTTTTTCCAAGTCCGATGGTGATTTGTCCACGTTTGCTGGCCGACAAAAGTTGTGGAGGTTGATTGATGAACTTCAACCAGAACATATCTATGTCGCCCCAGAATGTGGTCCATGGGGGGGTTGGAATAGACTGAATGCTATGAAAAGCGTGATACTTTGCGATAAGATAAATGATCAACAAAATCATGAACGTATTCACATCAAACTGTGTGCACAACTTTGTTCCTTTCAAGTGACCCGCAACCGGCATTTTCACCTAGAACAACCTAGTGGATCCGGAATGATCAACACACCT